GGAAGTCCATGTTTTTTTGTGGTTTATTTTTTTCATTTAAGTGAGATAAATCAAAGAAAATTTTAAGGGAATAGCATCTACTATAGGATTTTCCCCCAGACTTTTTTTTTTCTTTTTAGTAGCTTTATCTCTGAGCTGCTGTGCCCAAGACATACCAACTCACTGGGCCACATTTAGAGTAATTAACAGTCTGTTTCCTTTACCCTCATTTGTTGTAGGATGTCCAGCCACACAGAATCTCCTGCAGGCATTGTGGTGATTGTGAAGAGGTATCTCTTGAATTCTGTGAGCAAGTTGTCGTGGGCAAGGGCATCTGCCATTGTCCTCCTCCAGGGCTTGGGTCTCACCAGAGATGTCTTTCACCAGAATCCCAACCCAAACCCTTTACAATAATTAGTAGCTTGTGAAGCATCAAAGGACATTAAACATTTGTGATCATGGGAATGTGACCGTTGACCTATTCCTAGAAAAGGGCCGCGGTACACACCAGGATACTGGACTCCCTCGCTTAAGTGGAGAAAGTTCCAAAACTGAGGACCTTCCTGATGATGGCAGGACCGGTCAGGCTGCGGTCATTTGATGGATTTGAGCAGGATGGGAAAACAACAGAAGTAACGAGAAGCCCAATTCCTTTTCACTTCTCACATGCCAACGTGATTTTAGAAAATAAAGACAAACCGTTCATTGTGGGATTTCTTCTTACTTTAGAAGGAAACTTCCTCAGGTGAGAGCAGGGACCTCCTTTTCCTTCCGTAAGGACCTGCACTGGATGTTTTCTCGTGAAACAGGTAGCTGCGCACATATACTCACCCTGGTATACTGTCTGCAGAGGACCATCCTCACCGCTTTCTCTCTTCCAGAAACATCCTTTCGAAACTGGATAATCCTTCATCCGAATGAAGGAAATATTCTATATCTTCCCTAACGTCCATCTACAGCTGCCTTTCCCGTGGACCTCTGTTCTCTCTGAAATCCAGAAATGGAAGATGCTTTTGAAAACTTGCACCTTTTCAAAATAGTGACTCTGGGTGCCCTCTGCTGGGTACTCTAAGTTCTTCAGCTGTATACTAGTGACAGCAAAGCAGGAAGCCGGGCAAGAATTATTGAAAACAAACAAACAAACAAACATATACACACATTTATGCATTTATATATATGTATGTATATGTGTACATGTATATTTTAACCTTTTTTGCTCAGGGGTCCCTTTGAGGAAAGGAATCGGGGAAGATGAGGAAGGTAAGCATCACTGATCCTGCAATGCATTTCCCAGGCAGCCTGCAGATGAGACACCAAGCTGCCCTGCAGCCCTCTGGCCGACTCAGGGACTCCCGGGCATGTTCCTCTGGAGCCTGATTAAATGGGGCCTCCTCTCCCAGACCAGCCAGCCTGGCAGTGTTCCAGCTGCACCACCGTGATTAGCAGCCAAGCTCGGGGTTCTTTATTTCCCTCTGGGCCTCCCTTCCCCAATCCCACCTTTAATCCCTGTGGCAATGCTGCCTCTGAGGCTCTTGGAGGTCAGAGCTCTCAGAAGGGTCTCGGAGCAAAGCTGGCAAGTAGGCGGGGTGCGCACTGCAGCACCATTTTCATCTTTCATGAACAGCGTGGACATTTCACCTGGATCCCTTGTGCTCTGTCCCTACACTGCTTCCTCCCCCCCGTCACTTCCGACTTAGATTAACTGAGTGCTTGGAAATAGTGTGTGTGTGGGGGGGTGGGGGGGGGGTGGGGGAGCAGTCAGACCTGGAAGAGAGGGAGTGGGGCCGGTATGTTAATGCACTAGTGGCCCACGCCCGCTTCTCAGGCATTCCATTTCTCTGGACTTGACTCTGTCCTATGTAAGACTGAGATAAAAAAAGAATGACCAGTTTATGAAAAACGTGTGAAGTACTTAAAAGCATATCCTGGCAGACTATACCTTTTAACTAAAGTCTGCCGTTAATTCATTCACTCTTACAACAAATACTAAGGCCCCATGATATGTATAATATGCTGCATAGGCACTTCGGGATCATTTAAAACAAATGTAGACTACTGTGGCCTTCAGGAGACACTATAGATACTTAGAGAGAAAACTTCTGTGACAACACCGGGCAATGGACTTTACGTGTCAAAATCAGTGACATACAAAATTGGTGCTGTGAAAGGCGAGGAAAGGTCCTCTGCTATCTTTGCCATAAGGTGACATGAGTATTGCCCGGGACTTATTATTTATCCCAATTGTGATCATGTGGTCATTGGCCCACTTATCTGTTTAATCTCTGCTCCTCTTGCAGAATGCAAGCTCCATAAGAACAGAGCATTTTTTTAATCCCGTTGTTTTGATTCCATGTTAGCAAATAAAAAATATTTCAATCAGAATTACAATATCAATTTTTGTTCATTTATATTTTTAAAGTAATTCCTTGATCCATTTTCAATGCAATATATTCAAGCCATTTCCTTTAAATTTTTTTGTTTCATTTTTCTGATACATTTCCATTGAAATCAATTCACAATGATTTGGTTCACCATGTATTTTTTGTATGCATAATGCATATCAAATGTGACTGATCACAACTTCTGCCATTGTGATTTTTAAATTGATATTTTATGTATTGAGTTTAATTTTCTCAAATCTGTAGATTTTGAAATGCTATAAATTTGAATCTTGGGTTATTTTTCAAGCCCTGTGCAGTTTGCCTTTGTTTACGTGTGTGTGTGTGTGTGTGTGTGTGTGTGTGTGTGTGTGTAGATGATGGGGCCTTGGCTGAGGTCCTACCATCAATGGCCAGAAATACTAAGTGAGGAAGTCTACAGTTCCAGCCCTCATCTGACTACAACCACGAGATCCTTTGTAAGGACTGCCTGGTGGAGCCCAGCCAATTCCAAGGAGAATGAGAAATGATAAAATGACTGGTGTTGTTTTAAGCCACTAAATTCTGGAGTGTTTTTGACACAGCAGCAGATAACCAACACTGTCCTGACATGACCTAATTAAAGAGATATCCTTTCGTCTCTTTCTCATACTGTGTGTACTCACCAGGATGAGTTTTGGATTCAGGAGCAATAGACATTTACAATAAGTGAAAACAACCTACAGAGGCACATACAGAATTAGGGAATAAGATGTCCTGTCCAGTGAAATAGTCTCATTTACAGAATAAGAACATGCTTCAGGCAAATTGCTGAAGAGTAAGTAGTTGCTTTAGGCAAGTTATTGAATGCAAAGAAACACTTTACAAAGAAATCAAAGAATAAAATGCTCACTATAAACTGAACATGCTTTTTCTTTGACTTTTTTTAGCCTTCAGAATCATCTATTATTTTGGGGTGAATGTTATGCATATTGGTTACCTCTGTGCTAAGCTGCCCCCTCAGTAAGGCTTCTGGTGACAGGTCACATAGCCCAGTTCTCACAGTGGGCAGAGCACTAGCTGCCCACTGCGCAGAGCAGCCGGGCTGGGCAGGTCACTGCTGCTATTCATCACTAACAAAATTCTTTTTTGTTGTATTTTGCTAATGAATGGTTGTCAACTCTAACAACCAGGGCCACACCACCCAGGGCCATTTGAATGCTCTTTGTGCATGCTGGAGAAGGTAAATGATAAGTTGGGGGACAGGAAGCATACCCTGTTATTCCCTAGGACTTTGAAGGTAGAGAAATCCAAGTGTGTGTGTGTGTGTGTGTGTGTGTGTGTGTGTGTGTGTGTGCGCACCAAACACAAGACACATAAGATGCAATTAAGAGTTTGTCGACGCCCTGGCTCAGTGAATAGAACACTGGCTTGCGGATCGAAGGGTCCTGGGTCTGATTCTGGTCAAGGGCACATACCTCAGTTGCAGACTCCTCCCTGCCAAGGCCCCTGCAGTAGGTAATCAATCAATGTGTTTCTCTCACATTGATATTTCTCTCTTTCCCTGTCTCTTCCACTGTCTCTAAAAATTTATGAAAAAATATCCTCAGGTGAGGATTTTAAAAAAACGATTCTGTGAAGGCAGAGAATTTTCTTTAAAGGGGGCTGCCAATGTTTCACAGAGCATAAGCAAAGAAATTCTTTTGGTATTTCTGAGCAGGAGGAAGAATTAATTTGTTTATATAATTCTTCAACTAGGTGCAAATATTGGCAATGCTACCGACAGTAACATAGTTACTGTTCACATAGCATTTACTTTGTCCTGCAACGTTATCTATCCCATTCCATCTTCACAGCAAGCCTGGGAGGTGGGCACTATGTTATCTCTGGTCTAACAAGTAAGGAGGCTGAGGTGAGCCCATGCCACACAGTGAGCTGTGGAGCCCTTAATATTCTGTCTCTGAAGAGGTTCTCCCTTTTCTTCTCTGAAGAGACATAATGTGGTACCAGGGGGAGGGTACGAGACTAGGAATCCGGATTTGAACTTCAGCTCCAACGCAAACTAACTATCCCAATTTGGCAAGTCATTTCCTCAACCTGAAAGATGAGGGGATTAAATTAGGAGACTCAGAAGATTCCTCCTTCTCTAAAACGTCTGATTCTGTGAACAATTCTTGCCTCAGAATATTGATAAAGTTCTGGTCAGCACTGAAGAGTCTGCAGCCCTCGAGGAAGGCGGCTGAGGCTCGAACATCACCTCGGCCTTCGGAACACCAGGCCCAACCCACCAGGTGCTGCATTTCAGACAGTAAGTAACGGGTCAGTGTGAGGAAGTGCTGACCTGCTGTTGTGATGCATTTATTTTTTACCAAAAATAAAAATCCATAAAGAGAAAAGAGAAACCCACTAACAAACTAGATGAACTGTAGAAACAAATACAGTATTTATGACCCACATAGAAAACTAAGCAATCCAGAGAGCATTATGTGGTTTTCACTGGTACTTATTTTGAAAAGCACATGGCTTGCCCATGACCAAAGCAGTAATCATTTGAATTTTGGCTCACTGACTAGTTCTGAGAGCTAAATTCTGGCTTTGTTTGTACTGCTGAGAAAATAAAACATAATCCTAAGAAGTTTTTGTAACCGTTTTTATTTTTCTTAATTTTTGAGAAAATTTGACCCTACTGAAACTTGAATGAAAAATAAAATTCAAATCAATACACGATGCCTACAGACACTCTTATTTTACAGATGGCAAATGAGGGCCCACGTACCTTGTTTGGGGTCACAGGTAAATGATGACAGAAGCAGTGAGAAAATCCTGAGCTACTTCCCAGCATGGTGGCCTTGGAGTTCAGAACGTCTGAATTCAGCAAGTAACCATCTCCTCAGTTAGTCAGAACTGACCGTGTACAGTGAAATTCCCTCCACTTTTGCTTATCAGGTGTACTGGTGCTGGAAGCTGGACTGGAGACTCTGACCATATTCCTTCAAGGATCCTCAGCAGTTGACCAGAACAAGCCTCTTTCTCAGGGAGCTCAGCTTTCTGACCCTTGTATCTAGACCTCAAATGGATTAACTTCCCAGGTCAGCAAGCCAGCACTCAATGAACCCGGACATTAAGGAGACCAGATGCTAGTACAGAGTCCACTGGAGTTCGGTGCCTGATTTCTTAGGGTGCCAATAACTCACTACAAGCAAGTCCCCTCCACCTCAGACCCACCCCACGGGGGGTTGGACTAAAGGTTACTCAGCCCACAAGGACTGGCTGAGTGGCTGGAAGGTCCGGCGGCTGACTGTCCTCTTGTTTATGAGTACCATGTGGGACTTCAGTTGTTTGGGGGTGTGGCAGAGCAGAGTATCCAAACTGTGAGTGGTGACCTGGCCGTTTATGTGCAGTTTCCCATAGAGCTCGTCAAAGGTGGCCAGAAGGGCAGGCACATCCCTCACTTTTCTCCTCACTTTAGCCAGCTGGAAAAACACAAAAAAGCAAATCATTACATCTACGCAAGATTCTTCCCTTGTTCTTTCTATCCTCCAAGAAGCAGAGACAGAAATGTAAGCGTGTACCTAAAGAGGTACCAGGGTACTGGGGCACACAGAGGTATGACTAGCTTCAGGGACTCCACAAGCTACACACTAAATTCAGAATCGGTGCTTGAAAATCATGCCCAATGTCTTTTAAAAGTGGGGGGAGAGGGTTAAATGGCACAAATGGAACAAGTTTATCCAATTTAATGACCAGAACAGGAAGCAGGGCCAAATTACATAGGGCTTTATAGGCATGGTAAGTTTATTTTTTGTGTGTGCGTTTTTTCAGAGATTGAAAATCTTTTTTTAAAAAACACGTTTTGTGTTAGGTTAGGAACACTTTCCATTCTGGCATTTTTCAGAGTGTGTTTGAGGTGAGAATGAAGACACCTTCAGTCTTGGGAGACAGACTGAATGTGCAGATTCTCACAAGAAGAGGTGAGGCCATGTCCCTGTTACTCAGTGTCCTGCTGGCCAAGGTTAACGTTTGGTAATGGCAGAAAACAAGTATGAGGGACTTCGGTACCCCAGAGTATATGCAGTTCTACCGGCCGCTTGTTTTTCCTTTGTACCCTCTTCCCTCTGGCCTGGTTTTCCTCCTCCCACTTCCTGCAATCATCACTTGAATGTTGGCTTTGGTGTTGCCCATGGCAAGTTCTTTCGAATTTATTCTAAAAGCCATCAGAGGGTCCAAACTGGGACATGATCTGATTTCGGTTTATAATAAAGCTGTGTGGAGAACTGGTGGGTACGAGAATGTGGAGACTGATGTGGAGGCCCCCACATTAGCCCAGATGAGAGGATGATGTACTGGGAATTGTATAGCAGAGATGGAGTAGATGTATGTGAGATACATTTTAGATTTAAACTTTTAAGGATTTATTGTTGAGGGGGGGAAGGAAAGGGAGGAATCAAAGACATCTTCCCAACTTGGGCTCTATAACTTGGTGATGGGTGATGTCATTAGCTGAGATGGGAAGATGGGAGGACAGATCTGCAGAGGGAAAATCAAGAGTCCTGTTTTGGGCATGACTGAGATGCCTCGAAACATGTAGGTGGAAATGTCAAGAGGTTGTTGGATATGTAAGAATGAAGCATGGGGGATAGGTGTAGACCAGAGGTATAAATATTAGAGTCATAAGTATATGAATGATATTTAATTCTACAAAAATGGGTGAGCTCTAAATTAGAATGTGAAGCTACTTTCTGAACAAATTAACATTTTGCTTAGTTCAATACTTATTAACAATATAACCTAACAATATTTCTTGATGAAATTTAATTGTAATCAAGGTCCCTAACATACTAGTATCCTTTGGTCATCTTCTAAATATATCATAACCCTGCACACCTTCCTTTCAATAAGGTCTCCCCACTGAACTGTCAGATAAGAAGTTTAAGCACTTCTTAATGTTCTTAAAAAGAATAGTTTGTTCAGTCCTTGTTTTCAAGGTGAAGTGACTTAATGTGCAGCACATGGCTTCCAAAAGAAGCAAAGCAAATGTGCCAAGCAGGAGGTAACTTTGCTCTGATTGCTTACACAACATCAGTTCCCTTACATCACTACAAAAGTATTAAATGGTGTCATTAGGATCATTCTACAATTTAAGCAGAAAAGACATTATACTATATTGTTTGTTAATTTAGTTTTAAAAAAAGAAATCAATGAATTGAGTGGTTTCAGTCCTAGTATTGGAAAAAAATCAACAATTCTCTTCAACATTCCTCCAGTGGCATAACACCACCTATCTCCACACATAAGATATCCTATATAATAAAAGGGTAATATGCAAGTTGACCAAACAGTGGAACAACTGGTTGCTATAATGTGCACTGGCCACCAGGGGGCAGATGCTCAACTCAGGAGCTGTCCCCTGGTGGTCAGTGCACTCCCACAGGGGGAGCGCTGCTCAGCCAGAGCCGGGCTGAAGCCTGGCGAGCGCAGCGGTGGTGGTGGTGGGAGCCTCTGCTGCCTCCGTGGCAGGGCTAAGGATGTCTGATTCCCTGCAGGGAGCGAGCCTAAGCTGTCAGGGACACCCCCTGAGGGTTCCTGGACTGCGAGCTGAGGGCCACCCTCCTCCCCAAGTGCATGAATATCGTGCACTGGGCCTCTAGTTGTTAATCACTGTTGGTATAAACACTAAAAAGAGCATTTGTAAAATGCAGAGTTCTACAACAGGAGACTCCACATGCAACCTCACAAACATATTTACATCTACCTCAGTGGTTCTCAACCTTCCTAATGCTGCGATCCTTTAATACAGTTCCTCATGTTGTGGTGACCCCCGATTTCATTGTTACAAGTTGAACATAATTAAAGCATAACAAAATAATCACAAAACCAATATGTAATTATATATGTGTTTTCCGATGGTCTTAGGCAACCCCTGTGAAAGGGTCGTTCGACCCCCAAAGGGGTCTCGACCCACAGGTTGAGAACCGCTGATCTAGCTCAAAAGCCACCTGGATTATATGGATCAATTCATTTCACAACAAGCAGTTCCCTGAGTGTCTCCCAACAACCAGGGAATGCATTGAACTAAAGGGCGAGCTTTCTAAGTCAGTATTATAGGCTGTGGAAGAAAATTTTTCAGATAAAAACAATCAGTATCTTTCAATGTGGAGTTTTGTTTGAATGCTTCAGTCGTGTGATTGAACAATGTTGATGGACCAGATCTAAGGTAAGACTAGTTAACATGTGTCAGGACTGCACACACATGCACACGATTGTGTACTTGAAAACCAGCGCCCCTACTTTTCTAACATATTCCAAAAGGATCTGGGTGGGTCACTACCTACACAGAGCTAAGACCTCAAACAGAAAGAAGCTTTAAATTTAATCATATCCTTTGGGTGGAAGTGAGGAGATGGGACAGGACTGAGAGGCAGTGGTGTGGCAGAGGGGAAAGCAGCCACCTGCCCTCTATTGCCAGTCCCACCATCTCAGACACCAGCCCGGACGAGCTCTATAAAAGGCAAGGGAAGAAGTGAGAAAAGGGAGGGAGGACCAACTGTAGGCCTCTTCGTGTACCAGTATCATCACTCACAATATGATCATTGCCAACAATTTACACTTTCTTTACAGTTCTTTTTTCCCCGTAGGCTCTATACTCCAAGCAATATACAAATTATTAAATTTCAAATGGCTTATAATAATTCCTCTTTGTGTGCCTAAGCCATCAATGTGCACATGGGTTCATTTGTTTCATTTTGTTTTCAATTTTTAGAAATTGCTTCTTTCTCCTCATTTTTATTTGTGTTTTAGAAATTTATAAGGCATTTATTCGTTCCATTAGTTTATTTATTCAGGAGTTAAAACAACAATTCTAATGATAGAAACTTTATTATGGTTTAATATCTGGAGGTTAAGTCTTCCTATCTAACCACATTTGTTTAAATAGAGGAATATTTTTTTTAAGTTGAGAGATACTATAGCCCATTGTTTACTAATGGGAATGATCCACAGAGAAAGGGATATTAATGATGCCCAACTTCTGGACTGGTGCCCTGGAGTGGGTCAGAGGGGTCAGAGGGGATGAGCTCCAGGACACAACTGGGAGCGGCCGCTACGGCTTCGGGAGGGAAGGCTGAGCAGACAGGGAGAGCACAAGAAGGCTGTCGATGAGCAGCACTTATCCTCTGATTGCTCCTGTTTCCTCCATGAGGCAGGAAGCAAGCTCATCAACTGAGAGTGAAGAGTGGGGAGAAGGTATTGGAGGCTTGAGGAGAGAGGAATAAGAGGGCTGGGACCCATGAAAACAGTGTGGGGGAAGAATAATGTAAAGGGAAAAAGTTTTCCTAGCATTTTAGAGGATATATTCTGCTTGAAGGAAAAAAATCTTTGTACCCACAGGGGGAAGCCTGACAATAGGAACAGAGAGGTTCCCTATGTGACCATCTCTCTAAGGAGATGGCCTTCTCTTGATTTTTCTAGAGAGAGAGGAAGGGAGAAGGAGAGAGAGAGAGAGAGAGAGAGAGAGAGAGAGAGAGAGAAACATCGATGTGAGATCAAAACATGGATTGGCTAAATTTTGCACACCCCCTACTGGGGATCAAGCCCGCAACCCAAGTATATGCCCTGACTGGGAATCCAACTGGCAACCCTTCGGTGCACAGGACAACACCCAACCAACTGAGCCACACCAGCCAGGGCAAGGAGGGGCCTTTTTAAAGTGTGCCCTTCACCTGCAGCAACCACATACTCACCACTTCTTCTGAGAACTTAAGTTTTTTCACAAATTTTGATACATTTTCCTCTGTGGCATCCTTTAGTATCTCTATCAGGGGTTTCAACATATTTGACTGAATATGGATCATAAGCTGAATAAAAAGAAGACAAGTAAAACAAAACTGAGCCAGTTACAGAAGCCTATATTTATAGGTATCTACCCCGTTTTCATGCTATTTCCTAACCATTTGCTTGCATAAGTTCAAAAAAATCCTTCAAATACATGTTCACCAGCCAAAACTTGTTTTCCAGTGACAAATCAAAATACCACAAATGCAACACTTGCTTAAGGATAGAAATGGAGAGAACACAGATTTGGGGCTGGATCCCAGCACTGGCAATTATTAGCTGTGTGACACTGGCCGGTACTTAATCTCTCTTTCAATTTCTTTATTTGTAAAATGAGGGGGGGAAACTTTATATCTCACATTTTTAGGTATTGTGAACATTAAATAAAATGCTAGCACACAGAAGGTTTACTCAAGTGACATTACTATCACTTTCTTCCTATAGCCTCTAGATTCAGAGGCTCTGACAATCAGACAATCTCGGCTCTCGGGTAAATGATACCTTTACCTTTTTTCAGTTATTAATTTTTGGTTGAGAAATTCGAGGAGAATAGGCTGTTGCAGGTAACAGTGGGAGCTGGTTAAAATCCTAGTGAGGCACCTCTATTTAGGAAATTTCAAAACTGGGTACTGCATCTGTCTTTCAAAATGATATTACTGTCTTCCATCAGACAGAAATATCATAAGAGAAAAGCAACACGTTTCCCCCCTTATCACCAATATTTATTAGAACAATTGGAAAAATATAGAAAAGTTTAAATAAAATGAGAATAACTCAGAATTTACCAACTAATGTTAACCATTGTTTGTAATTTCATGCATTGTCTTCCAAATATATTAATTTTCCCCAAATTTTGATTCTTCTTTTTATCAATTATCACACAAAGAACATTATCTTACAACATTAAAAAGACATTTTAGAACAAAAGAACACCTCTTTTATAATGATGAATGTGCATGTATAGCAATTCATCATATAAATAAAATAATGCATCAAATAAATTAACACCATGCTTTATCATATTGATAAATGTGCATGCATTTTTAAAAAATAAACTTAATTTCTCAGACTTAATTCTCAGAAGTGAAATTACAAAGTCAAAAGCTATAAACATTTTTAAGGCTCTTGATCCTTAGGAAAGGTAATTTTTTTGGAAGAGATATTCCTTTTATATACCAAACCAGCTAAGTTCTCTCAATAGTTCATTTCTAACATTTTATGTTTGTTGAGCAACTGAATAGGATAAGGGGTTACCTTTGGTCCTGCAGAACAGCATGGAATGATCCTAAGTAGACTAAATCCCAAGGCCTTGATCTAAGTTCAGTGTCCCAAAGCACAGGCAAAATCATGAGCATACCCTCTGTTGGGAGACAACCCTCCAGGGTCTCTCACATTTGAGCAGAAGCACTGATAGCCTTTTTTCCAAACTATCTTCTCAAGGATGTTTGCATAACCAACAGTCTGGGAAGACAGACACAGTGTCTCACCCAGAGCAAAGGGCAGGGGTGCTTACTGCCCATTATAACAGATTTGGGTTCCCCAAATTCAGGGTTCCTCTCTTAAAGTGTAAGACCCAGTGTGTACAAGAGGCATATGCTGTAGACCTCTTCACATCACCCCGTGTAACTGAGGCTCAGGGAACTGATGCAAAAATGCTAATATTCTTGCTACTCCTGTTGCTGTGCGTAAACAACATCCTTCACTTCCTGATGTCTTATATACTCTACCAGCACCCAAAACTGTAGCAAGATAACTCATAATTTGGAAGGAGGGTAAAATCGCCACTCTTAATAGTTCTTAACACCCTTGTTAATAAAAACTGAATTTGGTTGGCAGTGGACTGTTCTATTGAAATCCAAGACAAATCTACTTTTATTAAATGCAACATCTCCAGTGCCTGGCACCTGGTAGACCCTCAAACTAATAAAGGAGAAGGGGAGCACAGCCATTTTCAATGATAAACCTCCTGGAGCTCCATACTACAAACTTTTAATGATGTGCTCCTGTAAGATTTCAACTTTTCTTCCTCTTTTTTCCTAATTTCTCTCCTTGCCTCCAACAACTATCTCTGATTCAGTAGGGATTTCAAGAGTAAGGTTCAATACCTTATGAATATACTGATGAAGGGCAATATGAATGAGGCAGTTACTGATGAAAGACAAAGAGAAAATTTAAAGCTAGGAGCTTGTCTCAAACTGAGGTCTCAGGGTGCAATTAAGAAAAGCTAAAGCAGGGCACAGCACATTGCTTTCATCTTACAGATGTCAAACAAAAGGCTAGGAAAATTGAATTAGCAAGGAGTAAGGGAAACTTGGGTAAGAAAAACTATTAAAAGAACACATACTTCTGATTGTCTGAGGCTTTGGGAAATGCTGACAAATCATCAGATACCTTTGACCAAAAAGATGCCCTAAACATGCCAGAAATTTGCATTTCTTTATTCTCTCTCTTTTTTTTAAAGTTTTCTATATTTGAAGTAGAATATCATAGCATGGTAGACTGCTATAAACAATATCTATTCGCCCTTCTTTTTTTGATGACAGAACCCCCGTTCTATGACGTATGGAACTCAAAGGCTCTATTTCTCAGGTTTCTTTGCAACTAGATGAGGTCATGGAATGAAGTTCTGGACAATAACTTATAAATACCAATTTTTGGTTGAGACAACTAGGAAAGCACTCTTAAAAGGTAGTAACTTCTTTGTCCTCTCCAGTCTTCCTACTTCTTGCTGGAATAGCAAGACAATGGATGGAAGTCCTGTGCTTAGGATGGTGGTGTGGAAATACAGAAAGAGGCTGGGTCCCTGAGGATATCATGGAATGTCATACCAGACCTAGACTGACAACCTCTGGCTTTCTACCTGAGAGAAAGAGAAAACCTCTAATTTGTACAGACTCTTGTGTTTTTAGAGTCTACATTGCTCCCATCCAAAAGCAATTCTTTATGCATACAGGTGAGGTGCTGCCACAACAGGATTTATGAGCAGTGAGTCCTGTCTCCTTTCCTACCTGTGCAGCCTAAAGGACTTCCCAGCATGAGCCAGAACTTTAGGGTGACCTTGGTAAGTAGCACAAAAGGGCATTAAAGCATTCACCTGTGTCAATAAATAAATTATAAAAGCAGCAAAACTAACCACTTGTCAATTCCCTTGCAAGGTAATTCAATTCCAAAATTAGTCTCCATCTGGAGACTACTAGATTTCTAGAGAAATGATCAGAAATAAAATAGAATCAGTGGAAAGTTACCCTGTGTTGGTATCTGATACTTTCAGACATATTTGAAAGTATAAATTGATCCTTTGATACTGAACAGTGTTGCTAAAGAGGGGGCCATAGTTCTTTTGAGATGCATGGGTTTAAATTTAGACTAAAAGGGCAAAGTCAACATAGACGTGCTTTGATTTTATCTGCTAAATTAGTTCAATATGTAACACATATAGCTGGGAAAATGGGAAGCCAGATCCTCTGGGTCATATTGGCAGCAGGAGCAATTTCAATAAAAAGAAATTGAGGGGGAATAATTGGGTAAATGCAAATTCCAATTGGCAGCAGAGAAAGATTTTAGTATAAGGCATAATTTTTAAAGTAGATCAGGAAAAAACTTCATTTATTCCTGCTATTACTGATTGAACAGACTCTCTACTCAGCCAACTTGTCAGGTTTCCATTTCTTAAAAATTAACAAATTTCCCTTAAGGATTCCAAGTAGATGACTCAGTCTTGGAGAAGCTGGGCCCATTAAATCATTTTTTCAAAAAACCTGTTCTAATAACAGATACCCAGAATCTGAAAGATTATTAAATCTGAGAATGTCAACCATCTCTTTTTTCATCAGTTCTGAGGAAGATGAAATAGGCTTATATTGAAATATGAGAAATTTAGATTGGACATTTGGAAAAATTTCCCAAGTGAAAATTTTTAAACAATAAAACTATCTTTAAATTTCCTGACAACAGATAAATCTGTGACCCAATCCATGGAGAAGATGATTCATAGTCAAGATCGGCTCAAGGTTCCTCATATCGTCCTTGCCTGAATCATGCCCATTCCACCACATTTACCAGCTGCCTTTCCTTCCAGCTCTCAGAGAAAGGGGGCTGGTCCAGCGCCTGGCTCTTGAGTGCGCTTCCCACCTCGCTCAGATTTCTCCTCCTGTTGTGAGTGGACAGCTTCACTCTCAACAGGCTCATGTTTTACTTCCACCAAAGCACTTTCTCATTTGGAAAAAAAAAATTACTACATTTTCATAACAACTGAGAGAGATAGTCAAGGACTGAACTAGACGAGGACTCTAAAGGCATGGGCACAGAACATGTGCACGAAAGCAGATTCCATTTTTGACTTCCAGTCCTATGTTCTTTTCATTATTCAGGAGGAGCTGAGAGAGCAGTCCCGGAGAAGAGACACGCCCTTATCCCTGAAGTTCTGGATCGGGGGGACCCTGGGATTTGCAGTCAAACAGATTTGTTGGTGTTAAAACTCTGACTCTGCTATGTAATTAACTGTGAGAACTTGGGTAATTTACTTACCCTTTGAATTGTTGTTTTCACATGTATAATATGGATACATATTGTCCTGACAATGTTGTATAAAGTGAACCAACAAATATAAAGTATATAGGATGGTATCTTAGCTAAAATATATTAAAATCCTGCCAATCTCACTCCCTTCAATGTCTTACCACCAATCATTGATCCCCACAAACTCACATCAACTCTAATAGTCCACATAAAACTCCACTCACCACACTCGCCTGTATTTCCTTCCTATGATGCTATGAACCACTTGGAATCCTAGCAATTCTACTCCTGTCCAATCATGAAATGAGGGTATCTGCAGGCCACTCTCTCTCTCAGAAGCAGTTACATACTTGGGATCCCCAAAGCTGTCCATATCCAGTAGTAAGCAGAGAAGGTAAAATACAGTATGGCACCTGCTGGAAGAGGAGGCTCCCAAGTCTGTTTGGCTTACTGGCTGCTCAAATAGCCTGACTTCTGGACTCGGGACCTTTGCCACTTTGGCCTCCCAGACTTGCTTGAGCCTATGAGCTTTTCAGGCTTACCCACCCACTCTGACCTGCACTTTCTGCTTAGGTACCCAGTCCTGGGAAAGGAAGGGATAGGTGACTCTATTCACCAGGGCAGATGGGCCATGGCTAGCTAGCAGCATGAGAATGAACACAGACAACCTTTATTGAGTGAGCACTATTTTATGCAGTACAGATATACTCCATGAGTTACGTACAAGGATAGGATACAATTTGCACACAGGTTTCTCTCAAGTCTTAGTAAAGAGACTGGAGGGTCTATCTCCCTTCTCTCTACATCTACCACTTTCTGTAGTCATGTGTTAATACCTGTAGCATTTAGCCATGTCTAATATCTAAGCATATCTACATTTCCCACCTATTAACAAACTCCCGGAAGCAAAGGCTGTGTTGACTCCTCTCACAGGGGCCATACTGTAACTTTCACAGAGCTCAATAAATGAATAAACTGAATGAAGCCCTTGGGAGATCAAGTCATTATACACAGAGAAAAACTCTAAACATCATTTTAGTACATTTCTAGCCTTTCTTTAAACCATAAAGAAGTCACTTACATTTAAATTAGCGCAGATTATGCTTTCTGGATTCATGATTTGAGAAAAAATGGATGTAGCTTTTTCCACTTGGTTCTAGAAAGAAGAAAAACAAATCATACCCTAAGTCACATGAACGTTACCGTGCTATCATAAAGATCATTTAAAGACGTCGGGATATTCCTATTCGTGGTGCACCAGGGTTTTGAGATCCACAAAGAAAAAGAGATTTTTGGTAATCAAGAATGCACATTCTATAAAATGTGTCCAACAGTGTCATGTTACTAAATGTTTTAACACCCTACCAAAGTTCCAATTTTTAAGAGGGAGGCATAAAGTTTACATTTCCCCTTCTCCCACTGGAATGAGCTTTAAAAACAACAACACACCCATCTTTGACGATCTCTGACATAATTAGAACATAGCAGAAACCTCAGACCACAGAAGAGGTGGGAATCCTGGAGATGGAGCACAGGTTGTCTAAAGAAGTGAGAGGAGACCACTGCTGCCTTTCTCAGAAAGAGCCCAGAGAGTAATTCTCAGAGGTGAGGGGCACAACCTGAAGTACAAAACCTAAATTCCCATTTACAATGATGTAACAGAGTTTAGGACTAGTAATGACAAGTTCTCTGGATCCTTTTGGTGGCAAAGATGAAGCTAATCAAGGACTTACGTAGATAAGCCATATTTGCAGGAAGCAGTATGTCACTATGGCAGCAGCAAAGAGACTTTTCATTGAAAACCAATTCCATGCCCATTCCCAATGGCCAGGGAGAATAAAGCCTGTGCATATTTGTAGCGTAAAGTAGTTCACATTTTCTTAGGCTTTGGAGTAGGACATCTTGGGAAGGGCTCTTCAAGGGAGGTGTTCCAGGGTTCCAGCTTTAACTGTCCTTCACTGAGGTGTGAAGATAGGGAGGTCCTGTCTTCTCTCTGGGCCTCAGCTGTTTCCATTTGTCCGGTGAGAGGGGGAGGCTAAAAGATCGCTAAAGTCTCTTCCAAATAAGAGTATTTGGGTCTAACTATGAACTACTGGTATATGATGGACCCCAATTCTACAGTGGGCTCATTGTGGGAGTCCTCAGTCATCTGAGGTGTTTCCGCTTTGGAGAACATTAAATTACACTTTCTCTAAGAACATCATATAGTAAATAGATTACTTAAAATTTTCATTTTCATTACTTGAGAAATTCCTCTCAGAGGCCAGCTTCCCCCATTGATTCTCGACAAGATCTTAGCCAGTCCCTTCAAAATAGCAATGCATGTCATGCCCTTAACTGTGAATGGAAACACTCTTGGGAGGCATAGGTATAGATAGATGCAGGTTGCCATGGCACCAAAGGCATTGGTCTCTTTATTTTCTTTGATACGGCCAGAAGGGAAAAATAAATAAAAGAAATGAAAGCGGTAACATCCTTCCCATTCCCAATTCCGGTATGGGCACCCCGAAGCCTTACCTGATTCAGAGCTAGTGCCACAGCAAAATAGCATGCTCTCTTGGCAAGGACTTCTCCTTTGATTAGGGCTTCTTCCCTTAATGTGGTGCAGACTTTAAAAGACTCAGGGCTATTCTAGAAGGAGATGGGATTGCTCAATCAATAAATGCCATGAAGTTTTAAGTTGAATAAAATGATTAACAGTGTGCTCAGTATTTCAGATTTCCTTTTGCAAGAATATCCCAGAGCCTATCTCAAGCCTATTAAATGATTAAGATCCATATAGAGACTATTTGCAAATAGACCAGATTATCTATATGTTAGTAGCTCAAATCTAAACTAACTTTATTTTTAAAGCTCTTTGTCAATTTTCTGACTTGGGGCAGTTTCACCAGCAAACATACAGGTCTCTTTGTATCTGGATGGATGGGTTTTTAGACATCAGTCCCATAACATAAAAGTATAAAGATTCGGCCTGCCACCGTATCACATAATAGAGGAAAGCTCAGCAACACAGGACAACTTTTCCTGAGGGGATTTCCAATCTGAAAATATCCACATAAGTCAAATATCCGAAAACATGAACACCAATTTGAACATTAATCATGAAAGAATCCCAGACAATCAGAAAACTTAAAAACAAACAAACAAAAACCCCTCCAAGAATGTGACTGAAGCACAAGCCAGCAGATAGCAATGGGAAAGCTGAATCCTCTCCTTGGTTCATGCTATAGGTAGACTAGGCTATGAGAGCAGCATCAGCTTTGCATCTATGTACAACTGACAGGACATAACTCACAACTCAAATCCTACAGTAAATCCTGAACTTGACGAGAGAGGACAGTTCCCAGAACTGGCTTGGAACTTGGAATGGCTGAGCAGTTCGATTTTCACCTCCAGATTCCTCTGAGTGAAACAAGTTATTCCTGGGCACAGCACAGGGGAGAAAAGTCCTCTGGCCCTCCGTCAGTGGTAGAAGTAAATTCTCCCCACTTCAGTATACACTCAGGGAGGCCTCTCTAAGTAGGTCAGAAAAATGGGTGTCACCATGCTGAATAGCTGACGCTCAAGTGCTGTGAGTTCTGCTGGCTTCTGTTTCACAGGATCTCAGAAAGGTGTGCTTGGAAAGGAGCATCTAAAAGCCCAGGGGCCATGCCGAAACCGGTTTGGCTCAGTGGATAGAGCATCGGCCTGCGGACTGAAGGGTCCCGGGTTCGATTCCGGTCAAGGGCATGTACCTTGGTTGCGGGCACACCCCTAGTAGGAGATGTGCAGGAGGCAGCTGATCGATGTTTCTCTCTCATTGATGTTTCTAACTCTCTATCTCTCTCCCTTCCTCTCTGTAAAAAAATCAATAAAATATATTTTAAATAAATAAATAAATAAATAAAATAAAAACCCAGGGGCCAGCAAACTATGACGCTCAGGCCAAATCCAGCCTATGGCTAACATGTTTTTTACCCTTTTAAGTTTATAAAAACACAAAAAATATGCGACAGAGACTGCATGTGGCCTAAAATGTTTATTATCTGGCCTTTCGCAGAGTAAGTTGGCTGACCCCTGAATCCAAGCCCCTCATTTCACAAATGAGGAAAGTGACCAGGTTAAAGCCAGTTAATGCTAAAATTGAGACTAGACTCCAAGTTTCTCAATTTCCACGTTAGTTTTCTTTCCACTGCAACCCAACTACCTCTCTTGTTTGGGAAAACTGATACTTCTTCACCTTTCAGGGAAGTCCAATGGCCCATGCTCTTCTCCCTTGCCCGGTGTACCTCTGTTTTCACATAAGAAGGTTTTGCTGAGTTTCCAGAGTTTAAATGGCATGAATGACTATAGTTAAGCATGGAATCTTAGTCAATGTACCATTTCAGTTATCATTCATTCATTCATTAAATAATGAAGAGAGTTTCTCTGTGTAAGAAACAATCCTGATACAGTAATGACATATGGACTTATAAGTCATGCTTTCCTCAGAGAGTTCATTTTAATGTCACATACATTTATTAAAGACTGGTTGTGTATCAGGCACGGTGTTAGGTGCTGGCATACCAAGAGGCCTCAAGGAGCTTACATTCTAGTGGTGTAACAGTGGGCAGTGTTACAAGTGTCACATACATGACAAATAGCATAGCATTAGGGATGTTGGAAGAGATTCCAACTTAGGTGATTACAGATAAATTCACAGATGAGGACAAAGCAGCCCTTGAGTTTGCCAATGAAGGATGTAAGGTTTCCATGGAGAGGGCCACAGAGAAGACTGGCCTAGCCGAGTCCAGCAAGAGCCTTGTAGCAAGACCACCCGAAAGCAGAGCTTGAGCCCAGCATACTGTTTCTTGTTTCACTATCTATACAACTGCCAGGGAAGGGTGACAGTAATGAAATTGCTTTTCCCATAATAAAACTGTCTGACATGGCTAACTTCAGTTTTCTAAAAATGAACACATTTAAAATGGAAATATCTGCACCAGATGGAAAACTGATTTCCGAGGAACTGAATTTTACTGCAGAGAAAAAAAAACCCAAATCCTTTTTCAAACACTATCCACAATGTTCTAAAGGTTAACAGGAGATAGTCTTACCAGTTTGTAGCAAATCGCGAAAGCAAGGACATAGGTATCTTTGCTGAACTTCACATCTTGGTTTTTCATCTCGATCAATACTTCCAAAGCACCTGCCGAAAGTCAGGAGAGGGCCGGCTCTTAAATATGTACAGTCAGGTGAATTCAGAGTCCTCTACTGCTGATCTGCGGAGTTATAATCAGCACCATCTACTAAAAGGTGTATTTAGCACAATAAAAGCTATTTATCAAAGTCATTTAGCAGTGAACTACATTTCAAAATTAACTACACAGGAAGAACTAATATTTAAAAACCTATTATAATGTCAGCATAAGTAAAATCTGGAGTGTTTAGTTTAAGGCATGACATAAGATGCAACAATGTTTTCACACATAAAGGATGAGGTCTCCCTGATTCAGGTGCTCTTCAGGAATGGTAAGGTCACGTTTGTATGGTCCATTGCTTTTTCTAACAGGTATACAGGCAAAGAGAGCAGAATTTTTCAGCAAACATAAATTACAATACTTACTTTTATATTTTCCTTTGATAAATAACATGTCCATCAAAATATTGAATGACGTAGAGTCTGAGAAGAAACCTCGTAATTGCTAATGAAGAAAAACAATACAGTTTGTTTAAAAGTTAAAACTATTAAGGAATTATTACCCTTATACTGCACCTTATCTGTCCAGGACTTATTTTTGTGCACACCTTATTCACTGGGCCTCCTGAATTCTCTAATAAGTTTCTGATACACCAAGAATTTCTTTTACAAAAAAATTTAAATGCTGTCCGCTCTATTGGGTGTCATGCCTTTGGCAATGGGTATACTTAACAAGAGGCAAGAGGTCTGGTAAGAGAGCTCTTGAGAAATACGGTGAAAAACATATTCATAAACGGTGGTTCTGCCATGTTTAGGAGAAAAGAAACAAGCCAATCAACCCTGGTGGGGTGGTCCTGGGACCTGGGTGGCAGCATAATAACATGAAATGGCAGCTAGAAGTATGGTTGAGGACTAAGGCAGGAACGTCTACAGTAACTTCTTTTGGCAAACAAATAAAACAGAGCTGACTGTTTACTTTTTGAAATGATTCACTTTAGTCATCATAATTATTATTTAGTGAATAATTCACTAAAATATTTTTAAATGTTCTCAACATTTTTTCCTCAGCACCTTGAATGCCATGCTATTCAAATGTGCCGCTGGATGCCTTGCTCCTGTTTGTCCTTTCTGAGAGCCCACTATGCGGCTCCTGTCTAGGTGCTGAGAGCAAAAAGTGACACACAAGACACAGAGCCTGCCCTGAACACCAGTGGGCTTATCACCTGTGGAGCTTAACTTAAAGTCTCAATAAGAGCCATGAAGAAGAATGGAACAGGACAGAGGGGTGGAGAAGGTGATGGGAGGGGATCAGGGAAGGCTCTCTGAGAAGAGACCTTCATGCAGTAAAGGAGAAAGGCTCAGTGATGCAGGTGTAGAGCATTCCAGTCTCAGGCCAGGAGCTTGGCATGTCTGAGAAAGAACAAGGTCCAGAATGAAGTGAGCAAAGGAAGGTGGCAGGAGATGAGATACCATAAAGGGCCCACTAGATAATGATGAGGGGTCTGAGTTCTATTCTAAGTGGGATGGGAAGCCATCAGAGCACCCCTGTCCATAGAAAAATACTGCAAGCCACAAGGGCAAGCTATGTATGTTATTCTAAATTTTTAAGTAGCCTCATTTAAAAAGTAAAAAATACATAAAATCAGTTTTAATGTTACTTAATGCACTAAATCCAAAATATAATTTCAACATGTACTCAATACTAAAAAAATCATTAAAAAGTACTTTACATTCTCCTTTTTATATCAAATATCTGAAATACATCATGTACAGGGTGAGGCAAAAGTAGGTTTACAGTTGTAAATACGCAAAACACAGTTTATTCCTGTATCATTATTTATTATTATTTTCCAAATGAACAACTGTAAACCTACTTTTACACATATAGCCACAGTCCAAGGGCTCCAGAGATACATGTGGCTAGTGGCTACCGCACTGGCCACACCACAGGGTTCTGGGAGGGGACATAACACGTTAGGAGGAAGCAGGATTAGGTTTTATGTCATTTGACTGGAATCCAGTTTATCCCACTCCAGGAAACTCACCCATTCATGAATGTTTCACACACAGGTAACTAAAAACAGTAACAAAACTTTACATTCACTTTCTATTTGTTTTTATCACTATACGCATGGCTATGATTTATTATAGTAAAACTTTTGTTTTCTTTAAATTATAACATTAAGACCTGCTTATTGTAAAATAGTCAAACAATACAGAACTGTTTAAAGTAAAAAATGAGAATTTCCTACACTTTTATCCCCTAAAGATAAGCAGCAGCTCAGTGTCTATCCTTCCATATTGTAATACATATACACTGAAATGTAAATATGTATAAATATTTCTTCTTTTAGAAAAAAATGGGCTCAAACTACTCCATACTGTTCTGAAACCACCTTTTCTCTGCTTACTAATATACTATGGTCATCTTTCTAATGCATGGGTATTCTTAAAGGAGGGGCAAGCCGAGAGTTAATAGCTCCACCACGGACAGAACCCTTTATAGGAAAAACAGTAAGAGGCAGGACAACTTAGTTATGGCAGTCCCTAGAAATACTAACATGACCCAGGTGGCCAGCCCCAGCCCCAAAATTTAACCAATGCTTCTGACAATAGATAAGTTTATACTGTCTCAGAGTCCCAGTTTCTTCATCTGTAAAATATAATAATAGTATCTCGCTCACCAGGGCTATTGTGGGAAACAGATGAAACACATAAAGTGCTTAAGCCGAGGACATAGTAAATATTCAATAAATAATTTAAAAATAATTATTGCTATTACTGTTTTTAGGAAAAGAAAATTGGAATATGTGAAAGCATTTTAAAAATGGAAAAGCCCTTTACAACGTGGCTTTCAACCAGAAGTAAAGTTCAAGAAGAGGAGAGAAGCACAGGTGAAGGACAGGAAAGGCAAGCTTTAAACGGCAACCTGTCTTAAACTGTCCCCAGCAAAAGCTCCTCCAAAGGAGGATGTCAGTCCCAGGTGGACACACATCCAAGGTAGGTAGATACCTTGCAATCTGTACTTACACCTCTTCCACATCTGTATAAAGAGACCTTTACCTCTTCATAGGAACTGGCTCCAAAGAAACCTTAAAAATGCGGGGAAGAGCTCATTCATTCAGCCCAGCAGCCTTTTTCTAATAAAAATGTGTATATGGGAGATAGATGCCTTTCCTAACATGAAAAACACCTTATCCTCAGCACAAGGAAATCACTTTGGCAGGGAAGGCAATCAGAAGACAATAACCTGGTCTTTGATGAGCTCCACTGCAGACTCCTCAAGATCCAACTCGTAGCACAACCTCATGAAAAGTGGTCCAAACTTATACTCTCCCAGTGTGACATTTCTGTTCTCTACATAGTACCTGTTAATAAAAATGATTCAATGAGCCAAATGGTGGGACACAGGGAAAGGAACTGACAGCCCGAGACATGCACTTGGCTAGGTGTTGGGGACACACAAAAAATGAGGTACTCTCACAGTCTGGAGGGGAAGCTTGCAGACTGAAGATAATCAGAGGAATCCTGGAGTGCAGAAATACCTTAGGTACTTAAGTAAACATAAATAAACAAGGTGTGTTGGAGGCCCACTCACCCTGTGAAATAAAAGAGAGGAAAATGTACATTGTAATCATCTTCCCAACAACCCAATAGGACTGACTGAGTGGGAGCATATGTCAGAGAACAGCAGGGGTCTTGCATCTGTGAGCCCATCAGAATGCACTGTCTCTGTACAGGCCCAACTAGAGAGGAGCAAGGGAAAGGGGTGGGGTGCTGCTCTGTCCCTGTCAAGGCTGCTTCATCTACATCTAGGATGGCAGATAATCCTCACCTTGGGAAAGACATATGTGAGCTAAAAATTCAGGTTTAGGAAAAGGCAAATTTCAAAGAGAGTGGCTTGAGATTTCTTCCGGAGGCCAGCCTGTCAGTTAGAACCACAGCTCTGCAAACTGCTAGCACCACTTCACTTTCAATAGCCAATTCTTTGTGCTTTAGACACTAAGAAGACAATCTGGTAACAGAACAAGTACCTCATGATTACATGTAAATCAGATTTTAGAAAGATTCATTCATTATGTGAATAAATCCCAAATACCACAGGGACAGCTCTGACTTTAAAAAACAGAATACTCATCAATCCAAGAACTTGTATGCATATAAGCATAACCCATGGACATAGACAACAAGGTGGTGAAGGCCTGGGGCAGGGACAGGCTAGAAGGGGTCAATGGGGAACAAAAGGGGGACATATGTAATACTTTAAACAACAAAGATTTTAAAAAATAAATAACAGAATATTCTTTAACCTGCTGAAATCACTGAGGAAAGTCATAGTCCAGCCTAAGCTTATATACTGCCAAATAGAATGGCAATGTGTACTTTTAAAGGTACATTTCAAATTCCAATTACAGAAGCTACAAAAATATTCATTGCTTCATTACAACAGTTAAGAATTAAGTTATATCAAAGTATCAAGTTGTTACATCTTAAATATATATAATTTTTGTCAATCATACTTCAATAAAACTGGAAAAATAAGTTATTAAAAGGCAATATAGTGTAATAAATAAGGATTTTTAAACTCTCATTCCAAAATAACAGTTCAAATCCCAGCTCTGTAACCATGAGCAGATTAATTAATCACTGCTGGCTCCAGTTTCCTTATCTGTAAAATGGAGCTAAGAAGAGAACTCAGAGTTTTTGTGAGGATTAAATGAGGCAATATGCCTGGCACACAGCTAGTCTTCCACATAAAATATAAGACATGCTGAGGAAAACATCTTTAAAAATCAATATATCTCAGTAAATAGTCTCATGAGAAACTTATGCCTGATTCAAAACAAAACAAAAAGAAAAGTTTTCTCAATTTTAATGACATTCGTTCTAATTAAAAGTCCTAGAAAGTCACAGAGATAATGTATCACCTTCTGGTTCCAGTTAGAGGATCTAAAAATCCCTCTGCAAACCAATATGGTCAATATTAGGATGGGATTGAGTTGCTCATCACCTTTGGCCCAATAAAGGCCTTATATTTCAGCTCCCTATACTTCTTCCCAGCCGTGGGCCGTCTGTCTCAGAAGAGAGGGGATGGGTTGGTTAGGCCCTGGCCCACCCATCTTCCCACTTGCCCAGCTGTCCACAAGTAGAGTGAAGGGCAGCAACTGAGCAGAGAGTATTAGCATCAATAAAGGAAGGATGAGTCATACTTTGAATGTTCACAAGAAAAACAGAGTGGAAAGAGTGTTCAAATTTTTATCCTGCTTTATTTCTCTTTTAAACATCTGATAGCTTTGGGTAGTAAAGCTATCCAGAGGGTCTTAAATGATTCAACTACATAAGATTATTTTCTTTACTTAGCTACAACTGTTATTTTTAATGATTTTAACTTAATCATTACAAATAACAGAATTAGGTTTGCTGGTATAGTGTGATTATAAACCACAATAACTTTTGGAAAATAACCTGGCAGCTTATCCTGACAACCTTTAAAAGGTTCACTCCCTCTGAACCCAAAAAGGAAATAAAGAACAAGTTTTATGCGTACAGTTTCACCAGTATAAATCATGGCACTATTCATACTGATGAAAAGTTAGGAATCATTTAGACATTCAACAACAGGGGCACAGTTAATTAAAATACCAAACATATGATGGAATATGGTATATCCATAAAAATGTGATTCCTAAGCATATGATTAACAAGCAAAAACATTTATGCTATAATACTAATTAGAAAACAAAAAAATATATTTTTTCACAGTAATAATTATAACTATGTAAAATAAATCCTATCAAAATCCTAATATCTTTCAATGAAAATAATTGGTAGGGATGTATTTTCTATCTGCAGTTGGAAATCCACGATGTTAATTTACAACTTAAGTCTATGTGAATTTTCGGTGCCCCAAGTCCTGTGTTGTACAAGGGTGAAGAGTATATCAAGATATTAACAGTGGTTTCTCAGAAGTGGTAGATAGGCCCAAAGAGGGCCACCATCAATTCTTCCTCTCCCTGCATGAGCAAGCTGCTCCATCCATCCATCTAGAGGTGGAATCTTTTCCCCTCCCTGTGAATCTGAGCTGGCAGGACACTTGCTTTGACCAAGAGAATGCATCAGAAATGAAGCTGTGCCACTACTGGTCAGCTCTACAAGGCCTGCAGCTCCCACTTGACCATGGGCTAGTGCAGCTCAAGCTTGACTCACGAATGGTGAGACACTACAAGGAGAGAGAGGGCCACGTGAGGAGCACTGAGGCATTGGAAATGCAGGTGAAGCCTTCTTGGACCTTCCAGCCCAGCCCACTGACATGCAGATGAGCAAGTGACTTTAGTCTACACCAACAAAGAACCGTCCAGCTGAGACAGGCCTCAATTCCTGACCTACAGAGCTCTGGGAAATAATAAATAATGGCTGTTTAAACCACGGAGTGGTTTGTTATGCAGCTAGAGACACCTGAAACAGAACTTGGAATATATTTTTCTTCCTACTTTTTTGGTGTTTTTCTGTACTTAGTTTTTAATTTTCCTTTTTAAAAATAACATTAATTTTTTCACATTATAAAATTGCTAATGTTCACTATAGACAAGTTGGAGAAATCAGAAAGTACACATTTAGACAGACAAAAAATATAAAATGTGTAATTCCCAGAGAACCACAGTTAACTTTCGGTATATATTCTTCCAGTATTCTATATATGAATACCTTATCTTTATCCCTATAAATGTATAATATAAATGCAGGCCCATGTATAGAAATATATCTTTAAAGAATGGTGAAAAGAAGCAATGAACTTAATTTCTGAAATGAAGCCCATATTTTCTCCCAAGGGAGCAAAACCTTTGCTGGATTTCTTAACAGCAGACTATGATTTTGTGTGAGCTCCTTCTGACATGGGAAACTCTGACAAGGGATCAGACACCACAGAATAGGCATACGCCTGGAAAAGGGAGACTAGTTAGGAATCCACTGGTCATCCATGTGAGAGACACTGGGAACTTGAACTAAGACACTGTGAACAGGGACAGAGAGAGCAAGGCTAGAGATGAGAGACACCACTTATCCTGTCAGGGAGGGAAGCAATGAGATTAGGGGAAAGAGGCTCACAGATATCTGCCCTGAGTGACTGGTCATGCAATAGAAAACACAGCAAAAGGAAGAAATTTGCATAAGTTGCATGTGAAGACCTAAGGGACGTGTAAGTGGAGTTAGTGAGTATGCTGCTGATTTCTTGGGGCATGTATTATCTGTTTTTCTATTCCCAGCACCTGGCATGTAGTAGGAACCAGTAAGTGTTTGCTAGAAGAATGAATATAAATGTCTAGAGCCGAGGGCAGGCATCTAGACAAGAGATTTGGCAGTCATTGGTGATGCCTAAACCTTGGAAGTGGATGAAATTGCTCAGGAAATGGAACACAGTAAGAAGAGACAAAGGCTGGCAGAATTCTAAGGAAATGCCTCACCTGTAAATGACATGTTTAGCCAGTTCCACATCATCACGGGACTCACATAAATGAAGTAAGGTTCTCAGCTCCTCCTTCAAGATGAGCTTGTTCTGGGTCAATTTCTCCTCCAAGCTGCTCAAATAGGTTTCTGGAAGAAAGCACAGTAGGGTGACCATCACTGAGGTTGACTGGGAGAAGGGGAAGCCAGAACCTGGCTCACCACAAAGGGGCATTGAGAGGGGCTCACAGCCTCGCAGCTCCCATCATGGGCTGGTCCCCTCGAGTAGTGTCAGAGATGGTGTGTGACACAAAGCATCTGTGTCACAGGGGCAAAGCCCAGGCCCCACTCAAGACTGTCCAACACAGAATCTCTGGGAACAGGAGCACAAGAATATGTATTCTATATAATAAAAGCATAGTATGCAAATTATCCCCTCAACTGGGAGTTTGTCCGGGAGTTCGACCAGGGGGCGGGGCTGGCCAGGGGAAGGGAGGAAGGCCCTGGCCGGCAGCCGGCAGCTGCTAGGGACCTACCAGTGCATGAATTTCGTGCACTGGGCCTCTAGTTTTTTAATACCTGATAATCCTTATGCACACTAGTTTGAAAGTATCCCAGCGGTTTAGCCCAAAGAACTGTATCTATAGGAGACTTATGAGAGAAAAAAAAGAAAATGTAACCAAGATATCTAAACCATTAATTGGCAGGGCACGTAGCAGGAAAACTGAAAGGAAAATGTCCACAGTGGTTGACTCACATGTTTCAGAAATAGTCTGTTTCGCTTTCATTTGGCCCATCTTTGCCTCTCTTTCATTCCTCTTGGTCTCTCCCTACTCAGTTGTTAGCATACTGTGTGACTAGAGAATGCATAGGGGTAAATAAAAAAGTCACTCTTTTCAAGGTGATCATACTCTGTCTCTGCCCCTTGTCTTGTGTCTGAACAACTGTGGGGACCATCACACCCCAAAAGGAAACATAGCTTCTTGGCATTAGGAAGGAACTGTATTCTCACCAGAATGTGGGGTGAGAGGCAAGGCAGGCACCAAAAGGCAGAGCTGTTTTCAGTAACAGAAATTGCCAAGAAAAGTCCACAGGATTTGCTCCAAGGCTCAGAGCTTTGCAGGAATGCTGCTTAAAGAAGTGGCACAATATACATTGAAAATGCAAGATCTGGAAGCTGAGGCAGACATTGCTCTGGATTTACAAGAAAAGAAGGCCCACTGCGTTTGATACTGTAGTGGACCCTCCCATCTTTACTTGCAGAACCACATAATGGTTAAAGGTTTTAGTGATAGAAGGACCTGGACTGAAATCTAGGCTCTGTCACTTGCAGGCTATGGGGTGACCCTTGTCTGTGAGACCTGATTCCTTGTATGTAAAGTTAGGATCATGACACCTACCTCACGGGGTTATCCTGAGACAATATACATGAAGCATTTAGCACAGAGCCAGCAGAGTAACTGCCAGTAAATCACAGGCATTATTGTTCTTATTTTCATTCCTTCTATTTCTTCGTAGAGTTAAGAGGATTTGTTCTATTAAATAGCTCTAAACAATTTCCAATATAAAAGATTTCAATGGGATGACTTCATGTCTTGTACTTCTTTATCCTTTTTTGTTAATCCTCACCAGAGGATATTTTTCCATTGACTTTTAGGGAAAGACAGAGAGAGAGAAACATCGATGGGAGAGAGACACATGGATTGGATGCCTCTTGCATGCACTCCTGACCAGGGCCAGGGATCAAGCCTGCAAGTGAGGAACGTGCCCTTGACTGGAATCAAACCCAAGACCCTTCAGTCCTAGGGCTGACGCTCTATCCACTTTGCCAAACTGGCTAGGGCCTTGTTAGCCCTTCTTAATAAACCTTAAGAATCCAAAATTTCAACAGATATAATTTGTATTTTAAAACTAACCAATCAAGATGTAAGTGCTTATCACATATTCATACACAAGAGGTATGGTTCCTACCCTGAAAGAGCAAAGTCTAGTCAAGAGGACAAGATATATTTATAGAAAGTTACCTGAAACAGTGATGGATTAGGTAACACATGACTGACTATCTAGTCTACATAATAAAAGCCTAAGCAACCATTACGGCCAAATAGCCAGAACGACAGGTCGCTATGATGTGCACTGAACACCAAGGGGCAGATGCTCAATGCAGGAGCTGCCCCTGGTGGTCAGTGTGCTCCCACAGAGGGAGCGCCGCTCAACCAGAAGCCAGGCTCACGGCTGGTGAGTGCAGTGGCAGTGCTAAGGAGCAGCGAGCCGAGCAGTAAGGAGCAACGAGTAGGCAGGTGGTAAGGAGCGAGGGGTCCTGGACTGCGAGAGGGATGTCCACCTGCTGACTTAGGGCCTCCATTCCCCGGCTGCTGGCCAGGGCCTTCCTTCATTCCACGCTGCACCCTGGTGGCCAGCACACATCATAGCGAGCAATTGGTCTCCCTGTCAAACTCCCATGGGGATAATTTGCATATTAGGCTTTTATATATATAGATGATTAGCAGAGCAGTGAAGGAAGACTGATTTCCAGAGGGCTGGACTGTGAGTGAAGAGAAGCAAGAAGTGTTAAATAGGTGCTCTTAAACAGTTGACAGTAAAGGAAGAAGAGCTAAAAAAATGAATAAAGAAAATAAAAGAGTAACTAAAAGAGAGGAGAGAGGAGAGTCTTGCTGTGTTTATAAAGGAATTTAAAGGACTGGGAAAAAACTCAGTGTGCAGGAGAGGGGGAAAGAATGCAACAAGATTTCTCAGATGCTGAAAAGGAATAGGACCTACGTGGTGGTGTTGCATTTTTAGCTTTTTATAATAAAAGTTTTCAAACTACCTAAAAGTAGTTTGACCTCCCATGTGCCCATCACCCAGCCTCAATAATTGTCAATATTTTGCTAAGGTTTAAAATAAATCTTTGTTTTAGCCTATTGACTTTTCCAGCACAGGGTAGAAAATATGAACATGCATCATCACATATAGCACTGTTTTGTTTCATTTTATTGCATTTATATAAGTTATGTATGTGGGTACTGGAGATGTAACATAAAGTGTATTTTTTTACTAAGGGTTTCATCGAAAAGTTTGAACACCAGTCATCTGGAGCAGTTCTCCTTGGACTTTATTGTGCATACAAGTCATCTAGGGCCTGAGGTTTGGCATTCCAATCAACCTCCCAGTTGCTGCTGACCCGTGAACCTTTGAGTGGCATGGATCAGGGGGACTGGTTTTAGTATTTCTCTGGGATTCTGGGTGAAGGAATAAAAGGAGAGCTGTAGACTCTGCAATGGTAGAGAACGAGATGAAAGGTGCATGTCAGGATAGACTAGGAAACTCAGAACAAATCATCTCAATTTTTCTGAGACATTGAAGGAGAGACTGAACAGGGACAGAGACAGAGAAAACTTGAATGACAGAACAATGTAAGAATTAACAAAACAGATCCAATTACCTTTGGTACCAGGAAGAGTGTATGCAATAGCCACCTTCTTTTGCTGAAATTCTTTCAATTTCACAACATTATCTGTAAGTAGATATCTTTTAGCTAAAAAATAGAGAAAGAAAAAGACTAATATCATTTTGACTGTTTTAACTTGGCAAATAATATGACTGTCTCTAATAACTGATTCAGTTAGTATAAATAATTCATCTAGATAGGTACAAATATAACAGTCACCCTGGTGGGGAAAAAAGCATCTCTAACTACCAGATAATGCAAATCCTCAGCAAAGACAAGTTATGTTTATGTGTGCAAAAGGAGCTAGTGATTAATTGTGTATGGGGATGGGATGGCAGGGATCTGGGATCTGAAAGACAAATAGACTTTCACCATCTGGTTAAGGGACAAGGGGATTTTAAAACAAACAAACTAAAGGCTATTGTTTAAATGCAAAACAGGAATATTTCGTTTTGGTTTATCTAGGTAGAAGCATACAGTGCAGTGGGAAAAGCTATAGCGTGACCACTGGAATCCCCAGGCCTGTCATTTGTGAAATGAGGAGTATGGCCTCTCACATGTAGACTCTCAGTAACCTCAAGACAGATCAGAAACCACTAGCCACAGCTTAGCAGAAACGATGAGTTTGGGAAACATCACTTCTTTAGGATGCCAGGCTGTGGCCAAAGAATCAACCACCAAAAGAAGCTCTGGGCACTGCACTAAAAAAGTAACAAAAACAATCGCTGTATGGAGAGCCAGTCCACATGAAGGGTGGCAGCAGAACTCTACTGTGGGGCTGCCTGTGTTCAAATCCCTCCCCTACGTTCCCTCTAACCTCGGGCACATGAGATGTTATACTTGCTGTTTCCTCCCCAGTCGATGCAGAAAAGAATGGTACCCGGTCACTGGGTGTTGTAAGGAGAAAAGGAATGTCTGTAAATACATTAGAATAATGCCTGGTACAAAGGGTTCCATACTGTATCCCTCATCGGCATTTTCAAGAAGAGATGAAGGGATAACTAATTGTACGGATGAGGGAACCTGTTCAAGGTCTTTCCGATCGTTAGCTGCACAGCTGGGACTCTGCTCCCAAACTCTGCCGGGCCCCGCACCCCAGGGGGGTGAGCAACGTCGCCCCCGTCCGAGGGGATGCCGCAGCGCCAAGGTCAAGACCCCGGCCCGGTTGTCCTTTGGCTCCCAGGTACGTGGGTGTCCACGACACCCAGGGGTCATCGTGGCACACACGCGCGAAGCCACGCTCGTCTGCTCCAGGCCAGTAAGTGGCCGTGGCGCTGTTATTCCTCCAACGTGATGCCCGCAGAGGTGTAAAGGTCCCTTCGGTCCCATCCCTCCCCGCCTTCACGGCGCGAGCCCGCGGATACCTCCGAGGGGGCAGCGGCAGCCGGCGGAGCCAGAGCCTCCCACCCCAGCACACACCCAGGCCCGCAGCGCCCGCAGGACGGCTTGCTTCCGAGGCCGGAGTGCGACAGCCATGCCGTCCCGGGCCGCACCAACTGCGGGAGCCGGGGGGGGCGGAGCGTCGGCGCGCCTGGGGCCCCACCCCTTCCTCCGCCTGCCACCCCCCCGGCCGGCGGCCGCCTTGGCAGAGTCCAAGATGGCGGCCCCCATGGTGCGGCACGGGGTCTTCCTGGCGCGGAGAGTGCCTCTGCCTCACCTCTCCCTGGCAGGTTGGTGGCTGCTGCCTTCGTGGGGCTGCTCCGTTAGATCCCGGAGAACCCTGTTCCTTGAGTGAAAGCAGCGATGGGCTTGGAAGAGGAGAGGGAATGCTTCTGGGGTCTCGTTGCTAGAGAAGTCCTGGGGGGTGTCCGGTAGCACAGCACGGGGAGGCAGCGTCTCCGACCCGTCTCCTTTCGTAAAGTAATAGTGTCTCCCATGCACAGGGGTAACGAGCAGAGAACGTCTAGCCTGAGCGCTTTTGCGTGTGACTGGCTGGGTGTGTGTCGGGGTGACTGCCTTCTGCTGAACGTGAAAAGCCCCGATGTGTCCCCCTGGGCTCTGAACGTGGTCTCCCTGCAGGTTTCCTCGGAGGGGCGTCCTAGCGGCCCCTTCACCGCGCACAGGGGCCAGAGCCCCGGGTTCGGCTGGTGGGAGTTTCTCAGTGTACTCGGCTCACTCTACCTGATGACCTTGGGCACAATTTTCGATTGACCTTCCTTAGCTGGTCTTCTACCTGTAGACAATGAATGCTGATAGTTACTTCTAAAGCACTTCGATATCTGAGTGGATGGCAGCCCACTCAAAACCTGTTTCATGGATAATGACATGGGGAAAATATCTTTTAACATTTTCAGAAGCTAAATCCTGATAAGTGTACATGATTAAGTGGTTAAAATAATCCCAGTCGATGTTTCAGTGCCTGTTATCTCCTCTTTCCAACATTCCTCCTGTAGCCCCTATAGAAAAGCAGCACATACACTCCTGCTCACACTTCTTCAGGAGCAGCCATTAAATATCAACGTGAGGTCACAAGTTGGCTACCTGAAGTTTTCTGAGGATGAACTGGTTGGCCTAGCTGGTAAAAATATTTAATATTTAATGTACAGTGGTATGCACAGTGCCTGGCATCTCAAGCGGTTGTAGCTATTTACAAGCATATTTAGTGATGCTTGTCAATGTTTCAATGTCAACAAGACCTTCGATGATCTGTTAGGGAGGGTATTGTGCTTGCTTAGAATGTCTGGGGACAACCTTTCATTCTAACAAGGGAATGCGATTAGATAAGGGAGAGAATTTCCAGTTAGCATTTTGGTCTTCCTTTGAACTTGCAGTAGGTTATATACCCGTGCTATTCCATTGTGGTAGCTACTAGCTGCCTGTGGGTATTTAAATTAGTAAAAATTAAATAAAATTTAAAATTCAGTTTCTTAGTCACACTAGCTATAGTTTAAGTGTTCACTAGACACCTGTGGCCAGTGACTGCTGTATGGGGACAGCTAAGAATTGAACATTTCCATCATTACAGAAAGTGATATTAAACAAGCACTGGGTTAGGCCATAGATGAAAGGAGTCTTGAAATGAGGAAATGGAGGCTGTAGGCAAGTAATATAAATAAGTAGGATAGTGCATTATAGACCACTCCAGATTTGAAAATGCTGATAAGGAGCCTGACTTTAAGTCATCAAAACATCTTGAACCATTAGAGGAAAAATAGTCTACGTTGTACAAACTCACAGCAAATGTATTGTTCTGTCCAACTTTATAGAAATTCTTTGATTCCAGTGTTAATATATAGACCTTCCAACTACTATACAAAGATGGAAAGAACTTTAAATGGTGTCCTTTATAAAGCATCTCAGAAAGATGAACATCCTGCTTTTAAAGGCTTAGAGAAAATGGAATGTCTTATCTTTCTTAACGCGTAGGATAGAGCCCATCCGTGTTCTCTAAACTTTGAAATTCTGGTCCTTGGAGGTATTTTTTTCAGAATTAAATGGAAAAATATTTCTTATAGTGGATAGTTAAGTTAGAGAATGGTTGTGTTAAAAATTGACTGGCTGAAGGATAAGCAAGTTACCAAATTACCACAAATTTGGTGGCTTAAAACAATGCAGATTTATTATATTATAGTTCTGTAGGTCAAAAGTCTGACACGGGGTCTTGCTGTGCTAAAATCAAAGTGTTGAAATGTTGGGGTCCAGCCCCAGCAGGTCCAGGGGTTCCCAAAGGTGTGGACGGAGTCGGTGAAGAAGGAATGACACGGAAACAATGTTCAGTTGATCAGCATAGCCAGGTTCTTTTTTTATTGTCCTGTTACATCTGTATTTATACCATTTGATCCTATAAGCATGCCTCTATAATCACATCAAGGTATGTTTTGGGTAACCTACAGTTCCTTGTTTCATTTCCATAGTTTCTTATCTGACCTTTGCCAAAAATCCTGTCTCTATCTAGTTCTGTTGATTTTAATCTTGTCTAGGTTAATCTCTGTGTTCCATTATAAGGGCTATTCCAAGGTCACTATTCTACTGCTCTACTGATAAGCTACAAGGAAGTGACTGAAGGAGATTATCCTACCCAGTAAAGGTTATGTCCTCCCAGCCCCACTGCTTGCTTTCCCTGGGACTACCCTGTGTCGGTGGGTCTCCAGGGGTATAGGCTTTGGTGCTTTCCCTGGTGGGCAGACCCCTGGGGATGTGGGCCCAACAAGTCCCAAATTTATTGCCAACAGTCTTAGTCCAAGTTCTTCATAAGTAGTACATGGTATTTCTGTAACACTAGGGGGTTTTACTGATTTATTCTCTTCCTTAGTCCTGTTAATCCCTAACTCCAGGGAAAAATCCCCACCTGGGGAAACAACCTTTCTCAGGGAGGTGGTTCTGGTTATAACACATAGCGCTAAAAAAGGGGGAGCAAACATATTAAGAACAGTATGCCGTATACGCCAGGTACCTTGAAACATATGCTGTGCAGATGTTTCTTCCCTGAAGTGACTGTGTCAAGCAACAAGGATGGACCGGCCTCCGGCATTGAAAGGGATGTAGAATCTGCTTCCATGCCTTTTCTATCTTTTAAGAACCATCTGCATTCCTTGGCTGATGGTCCCTTTCTCAAATATCTTCAAAGTGAGCAATGGCAAGTCAAGTCCTTATGTCACTCTTTGTATCCTTTACACATCACTCTAAGGACCTGCCACCCTCTTCTAGCCATCATCACAATCAATTTAGGACATTTTCACTACCTCAAAATACAAAACAAAACAAAAGCAAACTTAGTAAATTACTCCCCAACTTCCCTGAAGTTTTTCTGACCCCTAACCCTCCAAATCTAGGCAACCACTAATCTGCTTTCTGTTTCTGTTTTATACAAATTTTTGTGTGGAAATATACTTTCATTTTTCTTGGGTATATACCTAGGAGTGGAATTGCTGGGTCGTATGGTAACTTCATGTTTATGTTTTAAGAAACTGACAAACTTTTCCAAAGTGGCTGCACTACTTTACATTCTCACCTGAATTGTAAAAGGTTCCAGTTTTTCTACATTTATATCAACAACTGTTACTATCTGTCTTTTTTATTATAGTCACTCTAGTGGGTGTGAAGTGGAATTTCAATGTATTTTGCCTTTCCCTAATAGCAAATACTAAACATCTTTTCATGTACTTGCTAGCAATTTGCATGTATGTATATATGTTTGTGTGTGTGCATACTTTTCCTGTATTAGAAATATATGTTCAAATCCTTTGCCCATTTTCAGTTGGGTTATTTGTCTTTTTAAATTTTGAGTAGTAAGAATTATTTATATATTCGGGACACAAATCCCTTATCAGAGAAATGATTTGCAAATGTTTTCTCATCCTGTGAGTTTTCCTTTCACTTTCTGGGTAGTGTCCTTTGAAGCACAAAAGGTTTTCATTTGAGCTCATTTATTGAGCATTGCCATATGCCAGTCCTTGTGCCAGGTACTGGGAATACAGCTATGCCAGTTCGTGGGTTACCTGAAATTTGGCTTACTGCTTTCTCTTATTTACCACTAGGGTGCTGGTGTACTGGGTAAGATATTATTGTTTGGTTTATGTGAAATAAGGGTAAATATGCTGATCTAAGTCACGTGGCAATGTTTTGAGGACCAACTAATGATTATGAGGCATTCGATTAATGAGTTAAGCAGCCGTTCAGCAAATGTTTCCAGTTCCAAAGGGTTCTAGTGCTTACCTAGGCTATAATTTAATGGAAACAGATGGTTCCTAGTCCTAAAGTTATAGGAACAAAATTACCAGCATTTCTACCCATAACATTATTGTATAAATTTTCAGTTCTCTGTATCTTTTTTTTTTTTTTTTAGTTTTCTGTATCTTATACTTGTTAGAGGTTGAGTGCAGTTTGTTGAGAACTGAATTGTTAACTGTGCAACGTTGGTTACAGTATCATGTTAGAATCTTTAAATCTAGTAAATTGAACATATTACAAAGATATGTTTAATGAAACAGGCATATAAACTAAACCTGTTGTGAAACCATGAATGTTGAGATAATTGTCTTTTTTCCTCAGGTAAAAGGTGTCTGCTTTCTGCAGCATACGTGGACAGCCAGAAATGGGAAGCAAGAGAAAAAGAAGATTGTCACCTCGGTAGGTACCTGTGTGTCATTTGCAGTCACTCCATGTGTTTATGATAATATATTCATATGATGTATTATGAAATGATGCTTTTATGATAACCCAATTCAGATAAGTACATTTTAGCTCTTAAAAGGAATTAGACTTTTGTTTCACACATGGCAAAGTCATTTTTGTTATCCTGCTATTTCTTTTTTGCCTTGATGAGTGGTCTTCCTAAGTTATGTAAACAATTCTTTTTTTTGTCCATTTTTATTGTATAGTTAGTTGCTCTGCAGCCTCTGTTTTATGTTATCTGCAAAGAAAAATTTGTTTTATATTCTTTTTTAAAATATATTTTTATTGATTTCAGGGAGCAAGGGAGAGGGAGAGAGAGATAAAAACATCAATAGTGAGAGAGAATTATTGATTGGCTGCCTCCTGCATGCCCCACACTGGGGATTGAGCCTGCAACCCTGGCATATGCCCTTGACCAGAATCAGACCCGGGATCCTTCAGTCCGCAGGCCAACGCTCTATCTACTGAGGCAAACCTGCTAGTAACTTATCTTTTTTTTATTGTCATTTCTAACTTGTGGTCTTCAGACAGCTTTTTGACTTTCCTCTATTTCATTGCCAGATGACAGATTGATTTGAAAGCAGTGTTATAATCTCATATAAACCATTTAAGGAAAATAGTTGGGTAACACTTCTCAGGCAGTAGGCTCCTCATTATAGGCTCCTGTTCCCTATGTTATATTACACTAATAGCAGCCCTTCTTCTATAAAATAACAAAGCCTAAAAAAATCACTGACCCTATGATCATTTTATAGAAATGTACATGCTACATAATATATTTTATATATAACATCATTGTGATAACATCAGATGATTGGTGATAGTTTTATGGGGAATGATGTAATTTTTGGATCAGTTCTAGTGCTGATCTAATATTTTCCCCAAGATTTCTTTCTCTGCTTTTTTTTTTTTTTTTTGGCTTATGTTAAATAAGAAGAAAGTCTGTGTTTATGGGTTCTTCCCATAATTTGAGCAGGCAGGATTCTTTTATAGCTATCTATAAAGTCTACCTTGAAGAGCAGAGTTGGTTTGTGAGACCTGGCATTGGATGTATGGGCAGGAGCCAGCCAAAACAGAGCTGTGGAGAATCTGAAGATTAGTAACTACATGTTTGCACTGAAATGTAGAATCACTGTGAACAACAGACAGAAATGCAGATGGATACAGATGTGGTGTGCTAGCAAAGTCAAATACCATTATCATAGGTGCTGACAGCTTTATTCACAAAATGGTGAACAATTTTTGGTAAAGTTCTGAATGAATCAAAGTGCTGTCTTTCCTCAGTTTACCTAGTAGTTGCATTTATGGAAAATTCAGCTTATTTTCAAATTATGTCCCCCAAAGTGCTTTGTTTTTATATGTAAAATGGAGTTTTGTTAATTATAGGCAGGTATTTTTAATAGTGTGGATATCTGCCATGTCATATATGATATGTGGACCAAATATTTTGAACTTTTTATATGGAAATAATTTGAAATTTACAAAAAAAATCATAAGAATAATACAAAGAGCATCTGACCCTTAGCCCAGATTTACATATTTTCACCATTTTGACCCATTTGTTTTTGCTTTCTTATACTCTGCACACTTTTTTTTTTTTTTTTTTACTTTTTGAACAGTTTTTTGCATATATTACAGCTCCTGAATGCTTTAGTGTATATGACCTGACATTTTTAAAGAAGCCAGTCCCTTTTTTAAATAGGATATTCTTCTTTTTGGGTTTGTCTGAGGTTTCCTTATGATTAGATTCAAGATATGCTTTCCCATCAGAATATTGTCAGTGTTATTTTGTCCTTCTCAGGGCACATCTAGAGATACCTGTTGTCGATCTGCGTTCACTGGCAATGTTAATTTTGATCACCTTGTCAAGTGTGTCTGATTTCCTCACTGGAGAGTTACTATTTTTCTCCATTATGACTAATAGGCAATCTGTGGAGAGATATTTTAATATGCAAATATCATGTTGAGCAAAAGTTTCCCCCTAGATTTAGCATCTATTGAGGCATCTTGCCTGAATCAGTCTTTACAACAATTGAAAAATCTTGCCTGAATCAGTCTTTACAACAATTGAAAAATGATGGTTCTCCAACTCCAATAATACTTCCACATTTACTAGTTAGTACTCAGTATTCTACTATAAGCATGAGCCCTCCCTCTGTTCCCATTTCTTCCTTTGAATTATATGGTCTTCTGGATTATGAATTTCTCTTGTTTTTCTTTTTAATGATTCATTACCATTCTGTCCCAGATTTGGCTAGTAGGAGCCCTTTCAAGCTGACTCTCAATGTTCTAAGCTCATCTTGTACCTTTCCTGCTCTGGCCTGGGAATCAACTCTTTCTCCAAGGAGTCCTGGTTCTTTTTAAAGGGAATGGTATTAGAAGCCAAGATCTGCATAGTAGTTGTCCTCTTGTCATTGTGGAGTTTTTGCTTCTTGGCCCATTCAGTGGAAAATATGTATACATCCTATATAATAAAAGCCTAATATGCTAAGTGTCCAGTTGTCGGTTCAACCAATCAAAGCATAATATGCTAATGATATGCTAAGGCTGCTCAACAACTCGCTATGATGTCACTGACCCCCAGGGGGCAGATGCTCTGATCTTAGGTTAGCTTGCTGCTGGGGTCTGGCCGATTGGGACTGAGCAAGATGGGCCAGACACGCCCTGGAGCCCTCCCAGGCTGGCCAACTTCCCGCGTCCCTCCCCGACCCCAATCATGCACCGGTGGGGTCCCTCAGCCTGGCCTGCACCCTCTCACAATCCGGGACCCCTCGGGATGTTGGAGAGCCGGTTTCGGCCTGATCCCGCTCAACGCAGGAGCTGCCCCCTGGTGGTCAGTGTGCTCCCACATGGGGAGTGCAGCTCAGCCAGAAGCTGGGCTCATGGCTGGTGAGCGCAGTGGCAGTGGCTGGAGCCTCTCCTGCCTCTGTGGCACTTAGACATCCCCCAAGGACTCCCGGACTACAAGAGGGCGCAGGCTGGGCTGAGGGACCTCCCCTCCCCACCCTGTGCATAAATTTCATGCACCAGGCCTCTGTCTAGTAAACTCATAAACATACAGATGTGAACATCTATGCACATATGCATACATATATATATTTTAAAAATGAGTTCATACTAATACTTCCAATTCTAGTATATTCCCACAGGATTCTTCCTTGCCTTCCTCTAGTCCATATTTGTATCTCCTTCCCATACTGAAAACTCTGGCTCCCAAAAAGGATGATGTTTTGATGTATTGGACAGTCTCAGCATTGTAGGTTACCTAATTTTCTGTTCTGCCCATTAAGTGCCAGTAATGCCTGGCTGTCATTCTGACAGTAAAAAAAAAAAAAAGACCCCCATATATTCTAAAATGCCCTCTAGGGCTAATAATACTCCTTTTTGAAACCGCTGTTGTAGTGATGAAACTTGACATGGACTCAATTATATTGCAAAGCTTTTTCTGATGTACTATATGTGAATTAAAAGAAAAGGACTATGGGAGTACAGAGAAGAGAATGAAGAATTTAAGGAAAGCTATTGCTAACACTTTCTTAGGTATGAGGGGAAGATTAGTAAATGAGTCTACTATATTTGGCACCTAGGTATGGGGTATAGTCAGCTGTCTGTTATTCTGAGACAAATCTAGGGAAACGTTTTCATGGATTCCTGAATAAGTAAAAACTTTTTGCCAAAAAATAAACACAGTAATCTGCAACAAATAAGTATATGGGGGTAATTGTCTCCTTGTCTGTTAAGATAGTATACTTGGGAACGCAGTACCAGCTACCACTTACTGAATACCACCTAGCCTAGAATACCCTTTGTACATCCTGAATCCTACCCAGTCAGGATAGAATTTCCCTCACCCTATCTTCTTACAGCACTTGGTTATGCAGCGTGATGTGGTGAAGAGCCTGCGTTTGGGAGACAGACATCTAGGTGTGACCCCAGCTCTTCCAGCTTTCCAAAACTGTCACTTCACCTCGGTTCCTGTCCTTGTAAATTAGGGAGGATGGTAATGGCTGCCCCAGCTAAGACCCTGACATGCGGCAGGTGCTCCAGAAATATGTGGAATGAACAGGTCCCTAGGCCCCTTGATTTTACCTCTGTATAAAAGGTGGGAGATTCTGAAACTCAAATGGCCTGGAGACAGTATGTTTTTCTTTACCGTTTAATGGAATGTGATTAAAACAAGCTTTCTCGTCTATGTGCTATTACTACATGCTTTCCCTAACTCGATTTGAGTGTTTGGGTTAGCACCTGGCCCTGAGAAGTGAGGGCACGCTGTGGTCAGGCAGGGCGGGTGATTGATGATTGCGGCGGCCCGGGAAGATCGGGCGGTAGGTGGCAGTGCGGGCTCTTCGGAGACGCCGCGCAGCCTGTGGAGCTTTTCCGTGGCCCGCAGCCTCTCTGAAGCCTCCGTGCGCGTGTGGGAGGCCTGCCCTCCAGCATGTGGAGTGCTGTGATTGGGCGCGGGGATCTGGTGCGGACTCGCTGATTGGGGGAGCGAGGAGGACCGCATACCCCGCGAGTCCCCATTGGAGGACGTCGGGAGGAGTGGAGTGGGGGAGAGGGAAGAGGTGTGGGTCTGGGTCTGCGTCTGCGATCTGTGTTAAATGATTTCGTCTTCCAGCCGAATACTGTGCAGGAGACGTTCTGGGTTCCCCCGGAAAGGCATGCAGCTATGGTGCCTCCGTCTTCAGTCCCATTCGTGGTTTTCTGATAGTCTGGAGGGAGAGCTGTGGAGATCTGCGCAGCTCGCCTTATGAGGGTTGTTTATTACCGTGGAGGTGTTGATTCACACCAGTTCTGTTTAGTGTAGTGTACCTGCCCTGCAGTCTAGGGTGCAAGCAGGCCATCATGCAGTGCAGGTCCTCGGATAAAAATCAGAAGACAATCTCTGTTCACTGCCAGCTGTGTGCCGGGTTCTGTGCAAGGCATTTCATAGGCATCCTCCCGTTTAATGCTCA